ATTAGTTTCCTGGATTTCCTGCACAAAATCCTGCAGAAGCATAAGACATCACTGGCCGTTGCCCTTGTTGACTTCAGCAAGGCTTTTGACCTTGTTGATCACTGCACTGTTATCAACAAGGCCATTGCACTAGGGCTGCCCACCAACCTGGTCTCATGGCTCACTGATTTCTTGAGTGGACGTCGCCAGGCAGTGAGGTATCAGGGCTTGGTCTCTACATTCCAACACCTCACCTGCGGTGTTCCCCAGGGGACCAAGATGGGACCACTGTGCTTCCTCATCCTGATCAACGACGCTCTATCGGACACTCCTCACAGGTGGAAGTACGTGGATGACTGCACTGTAGGGGTTTCAGTGGACAACACCGCACCAGACTACTCATCGCTACAAGGCACCCTGGACAGGCTACAGGCATGGACTACGGAGAACAAGGTCACCATCAACCACACCAAAACCGTAGTCATGCACATCAATACCGCCACCACTCCAGTGCAAGCTCCAGCAGTCACAGTGGGTGCCCATCCTCTCCAGTTAGTGCAGTCTGCCAAACTCCTGGGTGTTACCATAGACCACAAACTGGACTGGAAGGCCCATGTAAACAACACAATCAAGGCAACCTCGTACCGACTCTACATGCTACGACATCTTAGGTCACTTGGGACACCCACGCCAGAGCTGAGGACTATCTACAAAGCCTTTATTCTCCCCAAACTAACGTATGCGTCACCAGCCTGGTCGTCTTCTCTCAACTCCGCCCAACAACGTCGGCTAGAGAAGGTACAGAAAAGGGCTTGCAGAATCATGCTCGGCGCAGACTACTCCAGCTACATCAACGCTCTCTCCACCCTGGAAATGCCATCCTTCAGCGACCTCCACCACCAAGCACTAGCAAGGTTTGGCAGTGGACTACTGAACCATCCTAGATGCTGCTGTACTGAAACTCCCAAGCACCGTACACATACCCAAGATGCTGGTGTCCTGTACCTCCCCTATACCTTAAACGTACCCTAAATACTGTGTACTGTACCTTAAATGTACCCTAAATACAGCTGTTCAGTACATCTCCTACACCTAAATCGTACCATAGATGCTGTTGTATAGTACCTCCCCTGTACCATACACGTACAATAACTACAGACAGACATAAATCACCACCTACACACAGACATGACCCACCATCTACACACAGACATGAACCACCACCTATACACAGACATGAACCACCACCTACACACAGTCATGAACCACCACCTACACACAGTCATGAACCACCATCTACACACAGTCATGAACCACCACCTACACACAGACATGAACCACCACCTACACACAGACATGACCCACCACATACACACAGTCATGAACCACCACCTACACACAGACACTTAGACCACCATCCACACACAGACATGAACCACCACCTACAGGTGCGACACACATACACACACACAGTCATGGTTACCAACACACACAGTCATGAACCACCATCTACACACAGACGCGAACCACCATCTACACACAAGTATTCGTCATTCAGGTAGAGCTATAAGTCACCCTGAAGATTCATCCTACATTCTAACCTAAATACGATATAGCAAAAGGTGGTGTTATGGTAGAGTGACTCGGGTATGTGGTGTCCCAGCACTGTGTCTCATTCTCCCACTGACTCCAAGTTACCCGTGATGAAAGCGTATGTCGTATCAGTGTGGTATTATTAACCATTTCGTGACATGAGACCGTAACACGGACCTTTGGGCAGGAGTTTCTATAAAATATGTATTGCTTTAAAATTTTATCCTGTATTAATAGTCAGGGTATATACTTAGGCGCAATAAAGTTTATTTATCCTTTCTCTTGTGCATTTTTTCACCTACCTTTGTGGCCTCTAAGTGAATCTTTTATTATTAAGTGTTGCGCTTTATTACTGTGTAACACCTTCCTGCCCGCGATGTCTTTCTTACACGCTAGCCAAGGAATGAATGACCATGATAAAGGAAAAGTTGGAAAAAGAGGAAAAGTAATATACATACACTATATATATATATATATATATATATATATATATATATATATATATATATATATATATATATATATATCATGATAAAATCACAGGAAAAGGAAACAACAGGCACCTTAGCTTTCGTCTTTATTCAAGACATCTTCAGAGGCAACTGGATTACATGGACAGAGGCTTAAATATACAGGGTGACCTTAAAAACATGAGGTCAGGTCATAATGATGTCATCCACTAATCCCTACACCAACACACGTAGAGGGCTTAAGAGGGGTGACGTGACTAGTCAGGTCAGGTCAAAAATAAGGGACCACTAAATAACTATCATACATCTAGATCAAAGGTTTTCAAAGCATTTTTAACCTTGGGCCACTGACAAATAAATTTATGTAACATATTATCAGTTTTGAACTGACCATCACTTAGTGTTGGTGGCCCAATTTTGGAGACTGTTAAATAAAACCTTGAGGCGGTGTATTCGGGAACCGAATTTTGACTGATCCCAATGGTGGAGTCGTCGACATTTCAACGAGCAGAGGTTTCTCTTTGGGCATCATTGATAAGCATAAGGAGACAGAGCGGTCCCATCTTGGTGCCTTGGGGGACGCCACAGGTGAGTGACTGAAAAGTGGAGACAGTCCTCAAGCGTACGGCTTAGCTCGGTCACTAAGGAAGTTTGTAAGCCATGGTATAAAACTTCTCCGAAACCCTAAGTCGATAGCTTTGTTGATGATTAAATAATGGTCGACTAGGTCAAACGCTTTGGTGAAGTAAAAGAAGACAACAGCCACAGACGTCTTTCGTTTTTCCAGATGGCGGTATATGTAGCCGAGAAAGCTGAGAAGACAATGAGTGGTGGAGGAAGTTTTCATATTGCCAAATTGCTCAGGATATATGGCCCCTGCATTATCAGCATAAGCCCAGTCAAACACGAAACTTTCGCAGATTAAGCTGGGTATTGGGGTGATGGCAATGGTTCGTAGTTCATTTTAGGATTGTTGGCTGGTTGACTCGGGCACTGGTGAAACATATGAGGTCTTCCAGTAAGCTGGGCATCTTGCGTGACTGAGGGAAGCATTGGTGATGGAGCAGAGGGGTTCAGCTAGTTCGGGAAACTCCTTGCATAGTCTAATTGGTAAGTCAATGGGGGTGGTGGAGCGCTTTAATTTAATTTTGTCCAAATGCTTTGCTACTTCAAATTCTTCTACTAAGTAAGTGGGAAAGGGGGTATGTAGGTAAGCAGGGAGAATGGTTGTTTGAATGATCAGCTGCGTCACTATTAGTGAGATGGCTAAGGAAGGCAGGGGGTGTGTCTTATTGTTTAGTCCACAGAGTTCTTTAAGCTTACCATACCACTGACTGATGTGGGTCTGCTTCAGGTGTTGCAACTTGGTTAGGTAGTGGGACTTCTTTGCAGTGTGTATTTCACGGATGACTTGGTCATTGAGATAAAAGGCGCTGTCTCTCTGCTGCCTAAGTCTTTTAATCAGAGGTGTGATCCAGGACAAGTCAGCTGGGTGAGACCTGACAGACTTCTCGGGGAAAAAGTGGTGGTGAACTAATACACTGACACTAACACTGCCACCGTCACTAAAACGCACTGTGACGGCGCAACACTGCACGTCGTGGCGAAACACAACGCAGCACAACACAACACATCAGAGTCGACAAGCACATCGCCGGCTAATTGTTCACAACACTTTTAAGTCCAACAATTCTACTCACTGCGCCATGAAGGTTCCAAGTGTTCCCTGAAGAAGGCAGTGATGGGTAGGGAAACACCGGGTAACACTGAAGTCCATTTATTAACGGATAGGAGAAATACAAGTAGTGACTAAGTGTACCTTGCGACCAGGTAGACTGAGCTGCCTTGCCATATGGCAGCCTCGGGGCTGCACATAACACGTGCAGTGTTGCCACGTAATTACATATATAAATGCTACTCGGCACAGTAGCTTATATACAAGGTTGCTACTCGGCACCTACAAACATCTCAGTACTTACACTTGTTATTGTTGTATTTTGCGTGTAATTATGCTTCGCATTACAATAGGATTGGCATGATTACACGTCCTAGTAATACTGAACAAGAATAATGACAACATGCGATACAATTATATGTATTTAATTGACCACAAAATGCAAACACTTCCTTTCTTAGGTCTAAGATTAAACCCAATTCACTGTGTGTAGAGTTAGGTATATTCTTGCAGTAGTGTAACTCCACCTTAGGATAAAAAAAGTGAATAATATTCACAGTAAGAAAGAACCACAGCTAAAAGAGAAGTGGCTGCTGCTAAACATATTTCCATATGAAGCTATGAACGGAATATATCTTCGAATATAAGTGAACATTTATACACTAGTCAGAATGTAATGATTACTTCCCGAGTAAAGCAATGTGGACTCGAGGAAGCAGAAAAAACATCGTGGTGTACATGGTGGTGCACGTATCCACGTAAGAACGCAATTTCAGTCTTGTGTTTCTACCACAGGAAAAAACAAAATTGCAGGTTAATGTGTGTACTTGAGGATGAGCTCAATTAAAGTTTAGTGTGTTTACTCACGAAACATTGCAATTAAAGCTTAATAATTGTTCATACAAAGCAGAATACAGTAATTAGCGCTTAACGCACTTATCTATGAGAGAACGTAATTTTACCTGAATATAAATCATTTACAATTTCGTATGTGTAACTTAGGAAAAATTTATCTATTTCCAAGAGTACAAGGCAGTATAACACAGGACAACGTAATATATGTATCTTTTTTGGACCATAAAGTACAACTCGGTGAGTTAATCGTTCATGAAACACACCATCACTGGCGGCATGTACCCAGCGTAATTACAAGTTGGAATACAGAATACTGTAACGTTTATACACATCAATGTGAATACATATTTGAATAATTACCTCAGTAACAGGGTTCAGGTACTCAATACAGGTAACAAAGTTCTAAAAAAAATGGTACATGTACTCACGAGTGACTTTGAGAGTGAAGGAGAAAGTGACTGGAGGGTGAGTGGTAAGCTGACACTCGTAGTGACCCGCGTCTGACAGCTGCACGTCCTTCACCCACAACTCCCACGCCTGGTGAGAGAGACACAGCTGGTGAGAGAGACAGCTGGTGAGAGAGACACAGCTGGTGAGAGAGACAGATGGTGAGAGAGACAGATGGTGAAAATGACAGCTGGTGAGAGAGAGACAACTGGTGAGAGAGACAGTTGATGAGAGACAACTGGTGAGTAAGAGACATTAACACACACATTATATATATATATATATATATATATATATATATATATATATATATATATATATATATATATATATATATATATATATATATATATATATATATATATATATATATATATATATGTAACCGGTCGGAATTTCTCACTGCTGTGACTAGTTATTGGGATTTTTTGAGTTATAGTGGATGGTAATGCAGTGGAAGCGCTCCTCAGAGAAATCCCGAACCAGCACAAACACAATTAATAACAGTATTTTCCATGACTGTGGAATAGTTAGTACCTGTGATTGGGGTTAATGAGACGCACTGGTAAAAGATAACACTTCTATTCCTTCCAACACTTCAGACGGAATCAATAATTGTACACAAGCACTAGAGTACTTCTTAGCGTGGCTTACAACACTACAATGGGAAACAAAAGTTATACATGGTATCAAATTTTTTTTATAGGATATTAATTGCATCTGAAAAGAACTACTAATGCAGCAGTACTACAGACACCAGAAAGAGGAACTCATCTGAAACAATTCCTTCGTACATCCTACATCACTTAGTGTCACATAAGACATTAAAACAAATTTTACTTGCACCGATTAAAATGCATTAAGTGCATCCGACAAAATTATAGCAATCACTGAGGAATAGAAATCCCGATTTAGTTATACTACACAAGAACATAGATCCCTCACAGCTTGTCTGGGATGACCCACAAAATACTATAATCCTAACTGTCCTAACTACAAAGATCCCGAAGGTTGTAACTACTAACCTGCCAAGTGGCAGGCATTTACAAGAAACCGAGAAAATCACTCATGACCCGTCAGGCAGGCGGGTGCTCCGTTGTTTTTTTCATTACTCTCTCTAGGTTTCAGGGGTCATGAGTGTGTTTCTTCACCATCACCCGTAACATGCTTCACACATAGGCTCAGAATACACCCATACTTTAAGGTGTTACAGCCTTTCACCAATTTTTAAAGAGGAACCCCTACGTGCCACGTGTGCAATCAACCATGAGGAACGTTGATTACACACCTGGACTTGGTAATTTTAATCACATACACCCAATAATGGGGAGATGAATGTCTCTATGTAACCACTAGAACTCCCGGTCCCAGCGTGTGACTTTTCATTGATTCAGTCTACACTCAGTTTACTCCCAGTACTTCATGGACAGGAAGAGAGCGACCGTCAGCCCGCCTAGTCAGGCCAGTTCAGAGTACAACCAGGTGAACCCTGCCCAGCTGAGGGAGGGGTTCTACTTTCCCGGTAGTAAGATTTTTCACTGATTGACTGAAGAGATGTGGTGTTGTATGAACCAAGGTGGGGAGATTTGATGAGCCAGACGACCACCGACCAAAGTGCAGCTGATGGTCCCAGTAGTTAGTCGTTAGAGACACCTGTTCGCCCGCTGCCCAGGTTGTCTCGCCTCGTGCTTTGCCAGCTATATCTTCCAAATCACCCTCACCACTAACCACCGATCACCTACCAAGTGGGTTCTCGTAACCCTGCAAAAGGAGCAATTTGTTAACTACTGTTAAATTCTTTTACGCTCTATCTAAACACTGTCTGAGATCGAATAAAGACTTACTTGCAACACGGATGAAATGAGAGAGGGAAGGGACGAGGCCACGTGGTCGTTTTCCTTGGCGGGACGCTTAGTTACACGTCCATCACGGTCAATGACTGGGCGCTGACTGAGACCCAATCACCCCCGGCATCCTTCAGGGAACTCGCCTACCCTCACCCCATGATGTTATCTTTCGCGTATTTCTAATAGTTTCTTTGGGACACACGTAACATATTTATACTGGGAAGCTATCCACAACAACTTTAAATTTAATAAGTGTCCCTTAACTTCATCAATCGTGTCTACATTAATTCGATAAAGTACATTTAAATTTCCATGGGCCTAATTCAAAATGCTTCCACACCCTGACTGAGGGCGTTGCTTGGAGGCCTTTGTTTTCACTCGCCACAAAGCACAAAGCATGGGTGTGTCAGCCTGGCATTCTTATAAGAACATAAGAACATAAGAAAATAAGGAGTCTGCAATAGGCCGGTTGGCCTGTGCATGGCAGCTCGGGTCGAGAGTTACAACCACTCTCTATCATCCATGAATCTATCTAGCCTCCTTTTGAAACTTTCCAGAGTTCCAGCACTTACTACAAAGTTGGTAAGCTTGTTCCATTCGTCCACCACCCTATTTGTGAAACCAGTTTCTTCCTATCTCCCTCCTAAACCTAAACATATCCAACTTAAATCCGTTGCTCCGAGTTCTATCCTGCTCGGATATTATAAGAACTTTATCTATATCCCCTTTATTGATTCTTTTCACCCACTTAAATACTTCTATCATATCTCCCCGCACTCTTCGTCTTTCTAGGGAATGCAAGTTAAGTTTCTTTAACCTATCCTAATATGGAAGGTTTCTAAGTCCCGGAATCATTTTCATCATTCTTCGCTGCACCGACTCTAGAGAATTGATATCCATTCTATAATAAGGGCGCCAGAATTGAACCGCATAATCGAGGTGCGGCCTGACTAGCGCAAGATATAGTTGCAATAAGACCTCTGCACTCTTATTACTTACACTTCTAGATATAAAATCCAATACTCTGTTTGCCTTATTTCGAACATTAACGCACTGTTTTCTAGGCCATAGGTCCGGGCTTACAAGTACCCCTAGGTCTCTTTCACAAGTCAACTTCTCTAGGTTGATGTTGTTAAGGCTGTATACATTGTCAGTATTTGTTCTTCCAATATTAAGTACGTTGCAGTTGCTGGTGTTGAATTTCATTTGCCATTTTTCAGACCACTCCTGCAGTTTAATTAGATCCTCCTGTAATGCATTTGCATCCTGCCCTGAATTAATCTGCCGCCCTATTTTGGTGTCATCCGCAAACTTGTTAATGTCACTGCTGATCCCATGTTTCCCGTGTGATTAATCAATATATATATATATATATATATATATATATATATATATATATATATATATATATATATATATATATATATATATATATATATATATATATATATATTTATATATATATATATAAAACCAGTGACCTCACCAGCCAGGACTCGAACCCTCGACCTATTGCGCGTTTTGTTGATGCCGTGTATGACTCTGTCAATTGCGCTGCCCCTCCACGCCCTCCCCGTCACCCCAGAAGTGCCACCATCTACTGGTATCGTATCCCTGCCATGAGACATCGCTGGCAGGTAACCCGTGATCTCCACTATGCCATCAAGGGAGCCTTTGATAAGGCTCAGCCTGCCTGTATATACTTGTGACACTTGCCAGATGCTTCTGGTGTTACTGTACAGGGGTGCCTAGTGACAGCACTAGGATCCCGCTTCCTCTATCAAGGAATAAACTATTTAAATTGAAAATTGAAAATAACAGATTGCTAGCCTGATTTTTTTTTCTCGATAAAACAAGTCCGTCACAGCGACATGATCCGTATGGACGGTTTTGTCGTAGCCAAATATCAAATCCTTGAATTTCTTCAGAGATCATTCAACAGCAAATAGTTATAGATGCGTGTCTGAATAGTATGTTTCTGCTTCATTAAGCTTACGGCTGCCGTAAACAATCACTCTATGTTTCTCTCGCGTGTCAAGCTGCATGAATACAGTCCCGAGGCCTTGTCCTGAAGTGCCGGTACCCAGAGTAAATGGTTGAGTATTGTTAGGAAATGCCAAAACTGGTGCATTGGTAAGTGCTGTCTTCAATGCAGTAAAATTATTCTCCTGTTCATAATTCAAGACAAAATTGCGTCTTTTTTTAGTAACATAGTCAGCAGTGAAACTATTGTAACATTCCCCTTAATGAATGAACAATATTACCCAGATAAACCAAGAAAACTAAGCACTTTATCAGCGGTTGTAGGACATGGGAACTGTAACGGCTTTGGATTTGCCGTTAAATTAATGAATGCCACCACCGTCGACTGCATGACCACGGAATTGTGTTTCTTATTTAAAAAATCTCATTTGGAAAGTTAACCCGTAAATCTGGCTGCATCAACCTTGGTGAAGACTTCCTCTAATTTGTCGAGATGATTATCTACGGTGTTTAAGCCCCTGTCAAACAGACAATGATACTTATAAAAATGTTGGCTCCATACATTATGTTTATATAATTCGATTAGCCACGGTAACTAGAGTATGAATAGTGAGTAGTCATAATTGCACATTCTCGTTCAAGATTCTTCGAACACTGCTAGAGACAGCTGGCAACTCAAGGCCATTTGTTTACTATAGTACGTAGTATAATATAATGCGAAACAACAAAGTCCAACCATTAAGCAACGGGGAACTAAGTAACCAATCACCGATCAAATTTTACATTCATTCATAATTTTTACTACGTACTAAAGTAAACAAATGGCCTTGAGTTGCCAGCTGTCTCCAGTAGCGTTCAAAGAATCTTGAACGAGACTGTACATGTAACAGTATTTTCTATTGATCGCCCGGCATCTTGAATGCGTGCGTCAGCAATTAAGTACCCGGCATATAGCCAGTCTGTACCTGTCTCTCTCCCACATCAAACGTGCGTTCACGAAGCTTGTTACACATACGCTTCATCCTTTATTAATGCTCACAGCTCATAGCATTAATTACGGTGATATCTTAGTTATTGTGAAATAGTTTATTTTCTTAGTAAATGGAGAAATAACCATTTAGATTTTTATTACAGTTACTTCTAGTGTACCTATAATACTGACTCAACAGAATCTTCATCAGTGATTACAACAGGTAAACGGAAGGTAACAACAGTTTTGCTATCAATAATAAGATCACCAAGATAGACATACACTGTTTTGAGTCTCATATCAGCACACAAGGTGTAAATTATCCCTTGAAAAGTCAAAGGTGCATTTCGAAGATCGAAAGGCATACGTAAGAACTTAAAATGGTCCACTGAGTGCAAAAAGAAGAAATTTCACGAGAATTCTCATCAAGAGGGCTTTGCCAATATCGGCTAAGAAGGTCAACATTATCTTAGCCTAAATATGGCAATAAATCGACCAGAAAAGCCATTGGGTATCTATCCGGGATAGTTTCTTCGTTGACTCGCCGAAAATGACTGAGCGCCAACCTCCATCCTTCTTAGGGACTAAAAACAAAGGACTAATGAAAAGGGAATTTCAATGTGTGATAAACTCTTGATCCAGCATCTTGAACCATAAGATGTTGTGTTGTTGAGATTGTTGGACCGTAGTCCGACACGAGCCTTTGCCTATAGACAGACCGGATTGGGATTGGAGGGTGTCCTACCTGCAGATATGGAAGGATACTGCAGGTTGCAAGTGTGAGCGGACACCCGATCAGTGGACGCTTACCACCAACCCCCACTCTTGGACGTGGTCAGTTTCGGAGTGGCGCGCCCCCCGAACTGGGGTCCGCACTTGCTGGGGGAGGATACTTTCTAAGCTATCTGGGTGGTGGGTATCGTGTGATGACCCGGAGAAGGTGGTGAATGTGGTTTGCTTGGACCTTTCGGGTTAGAGTGGCCGCTGGTGTTGTGTGTGCTTCTTGGGAGTTTTGAGTTCTGTTTCGGAGACTTTGTGTGACTTCGCAGTCGAGGAGATAGTGTTCAAGTGGGTTGGCCGCTGGCTCCTGACAGTAGGTGCATTCCATGACGTCATTTTCGATCATCTGCCAGGAGCACTTGTACCCTAGTCGTAGTCGATGAAGGCTAACTTGGGTTTGTCTTGGTGTTTTCTTGTCTGCGAAAGGTGGTTCCCCTTTTGTAGCCGCCAGGTACCATTTGGCTGATTGGGAACCAGCGTTAAATGCGTGAAGGAAGTTCTTTTGGATGTGGAGCTTGCTAGTCTTTCTGAGGTGATTCTTGATCTGTTGCACGCTTGCTGGAACTTGAATGTGTACGCTACTAGAACGTGAGGCTGCCTTGGCTGCTTCGTCTGCCGATCCCTACATGACTGGGAATCCAGTGTAAGACGACTGGGAGGTTTTGTCTTTGGAATTCCTGTAGCTGTGCGAGGATCGAGGTTATGACGTGGACGTTGTCTCTTGGTTGACTATGTTGCAGCGCCTGCATGGCCGATTTCGAGTCCGTGTGAATTATGATGGACTTGTTGTGTTGTGTTGCAGCGTGTTGTAGGGCCTTTGAGATTGCTACCAGCTCCGTTTGTAGGGTGGAGCAGTCATTAGAAAGTCTCCATCGGAGGGTCTGACCTTGGGTGTAGAAGGCCGCTCCGGATGTATGATGTTTTGAATCCACCGAGCCGTCTGTGAAGTATGATGCTGCATCAGCCGGTGTCTCGGTGGCTATGGCTTCCAGAGTTATTTTTTTGAGGTCCTCCTTCTGGAGGTTGGCTTTGTTATCACCTAGTTCGGTAATTTTGAATGTGGCTGGTGGAGGGCTCCATGGTGGAGGAACTACGTAACCATTGTCTTGTGTGTCTTGGTTGTTCTTGACGAGTGCTTCTGCTTGCAGGTGTCGGATGACCTCGCTTGCCTCGTGCGACCAGGTGGCCCCTCGCTCTCTGTGGTCGAGGTGGAGGGAGGCACTAATTCGCGTTTTGGCAGCTGTGGGCTTATCTCATCTACAGATTTTGGCGAGGAAACCGGCTGTCACCTGCTTGACTCGTACTGCCAGGGGTGGTAGTTCAGTTTCCATTTGCAAATTGCAAATTCTGGTCCACATGGGTGCTCCGAGCATGGTCCTGAGAGCATTATTTTGGATAACTTCTAGCTTAGCTATCTGGTCTTCTCTCAGTCCAATGAGCGCTGGAGCACTGTAATCTACCAGCGATCTGATGGCGGCTGTGTAGTAGGCTTTGAGCACATGAAAGTTTGCTCCTGCGGTTGTGCTGGTGAGCGACCTCATTATATTGTGTCTACTCTTCGTCCTGTGCCTGAGATACTCGAGTTGTGGCTTGAAAGTGAGTTTCTGGTCAAACCAGATTCCAAGACACTGGTAGGTGTTGGTCCAGACTACCGGCGTGTTTTGTATGGAGAGCATCTTGTCTGGTGTGTCTGTGCAGATGGCCATCGCTTTCGACTTGGCTGGATTTATCTTGAGTCCAAGTCTGTTGCACTCCTCTTCTATAAGTTGGAGTGCGTGTTGCGTGTTGGATAGTCTGTTTGATCCTCTTACTATAAGCTGTAAGTCGTCTGCATAGCATACGAGCTTGGCTGTTTGTCTGAAAGGAAGTTTGACAAGATTTTCCATCAGGACATTGAACAGCATTGGACTGAGGATGCCTCCTTGTGGGGTTCCGTTTTCGTGGACCCTGTAGCTTGAGGTTTCTCCCTGAAAGCGTACTCTTGCTTCTCTCTGTGTGAGGTAGTTCTGGATCCAACCCAGCAACCTTCCTTTGACGCCTTTTTCAGCGAGCGTCGTTATAATGGCCAGTGGATTTGCTAGTTCGAAGGCCTTCTCCAGGTCGAGGAAGACCACCAGAGCTGGTTTGTAGTCCACTGTGCTGAGTATCTCGGCGATGTTGTTGCCTGTGCCGGTGTTCTCGGTGTAACCAAAAATGTGAGGGTGTGGGCTGCCTACTTTCCACTTGAGTCGGTTGAGAGCCATTCTTTCTCCCGTCTTCGCTATGCAGCTGAGAAGGGAGATGGGTCTCGGTTTGTCTGGTTCTCTGGGCTTCGGAATGGGCTGTATATCTGCCTTCTTCCATTCCGGTGGAAGTCTTTGTGCTGTCAACGAAGCATTGATGACTTGTAGCAAAGCCTCGTGTACAAGAGAGGGAGGAGGTGTGGGGCTGAGTACAAGGGAGGGAGGAGGTGTGGGGCTGAGTACAAGGGAGGGAGGAGGTGTGCGGTTGATTACAATGGAGGGACGAGGTGTGTGGTTGAGTACAAGGGAGGGAGGAGGTGTGGGGCTGAGTACAAGGGAGGGAGGAGGTGTGCGGTTGATTACAATGGAGGGACGAGGTGTGTGGTTGAGTACAAGGGAGGGAGGAGGTGTGGGGCTGAGTACAAGGGAGGGAGGAGGTGTGCGGTTGATTACAATGGAGGGACGAGGTGTGTGGTTGAGTACAAGGGGGGACGCGGTGTGTGGTTGAGTACAAGGGGGTGAGTAAGTGGGAAGGAGAGGAAGGAGATATGCTAATCTATATAATGAACGTTTGAAGCTGCCAGTACGTGACACTGAACCTGTGGTGGTGATGGTTGAACCTTTTATTGTGAGAGTAATGGTGAAGATTGTGGTGGGTGGGTGCTGATGACCAAGTTTATTGTGGTGGGAGGGTGGTGTTGAATGACCGTGTGGTACTGATCTCTATACGGTGGGGGAACTGATCCAGAACCTGTGGTAAAGTGCTGAGGAACCTGAATGTGGTTGAAGAGGACTGACCTTGCTATGGTGGGAGTGGGTGGCAGAGAAGCGGGTCTCAGCAGCGTACACTGTTTGACCCACAGTCAGTAGCTGGTCATCGTCTCTCTTCATCCACGTCACCTGAGGGAGATGATATCTGAAGTGTCAGGAGAAGGAATTTACACATTTTATTATTAAGTTAATATTACGTGCTATCTTGCTAGAGAGTAAGATACATTTATAAAGAAAGGAACAAACCGTGATAATGAGAAACAAATTGACAATGACACAGAGATAGAAAAATAAAATAACTTACTGATTTCTTGGCAATGAAACATATATATATATATATATATATATATATATATATATATATATATATATATATATATATATATATATATATATATATATATATATATATATATATATATATATATATATATATAATACGAAACAACAAAGCCCAACTGTAAGGGCAGTAACGAGCAGGATGGTTGCCGCCGCTCGTTTGCTTGTTCGCGTCCCCCACTTGGGGGGGGGGGGTATACGGAGGTGAGAGGGTCGCTGCTGCCTCGTGACACAGTCAGACACTACCCAACCATCACCAGCTGCACTTCCCCGCTGTTCGTTCAAATTGTGGCTGTGATCTCATCATAGGTCCTGGACTCGTGGGCTGTTTCCCCAGACCCTCACAAATCGACTGTCAATCTCCGCACACCTACCCCAACCACTACCGCGGCTGTCACGTCATCGCCAGTTCCTCCACACCCTCGGTGCACCTGGCCAGTTCTCCTATGTAGCAAGACATCGCCCGCCGTCGCTCAAATGAGAAAGCTCACTTGACCTTCACCCTGAGAGTGGATCACTGCTTTCCAGAACCTTCCCCAGGGTCGCTGCCGTAGGAAATATCCGTTCATTCTTTGACTCCATTAATTGTTTAACTCCCGTAATTGTTTGATTATCTTAATTATTTCATTCCATTAATTGTTGACTCCATTAATTGTTTGATTCCTTTAATTGTTTGACTCCATTAATTGTTTGATTCTATTAATTATTTGACTCCCGTAATTGTTATTTGATGTTTGTGTGGGTGGTGTCAGAGTTTTGTGTTATTTTCATAGTAAAGAGATGTCAATCTCGAACGGTTGTTTGTTATCCCTCAGAAAACCGTGGTTCTTGACTTTCCTTTTATAAGGCCTGGTATGTGGGAGTTACCCAATTGTGTCCTGAAAATGACAACATCGTCCATCCACAGATGTTTGCTCTGATATTCATTTTGGACCCACAGAGAGAATATCGCTCTTATAATACTGGCCGATGAAAGGAAGGGAATCAGGGGCGATGCATTCTATCGACTCATCATCTCTAGACAAGTGCCTTCCTTGCAACAGATAAGAAATAAGATGCAGGAAATAATGATGATAATAACAACATGAAGATGAATGATATGCATGAAATTAACAATGGTTGAACCCCGTGACTCCAACACCGTGGATCACTCTAATGCTGGTATGATGATGATGATGATGATGATGGTGATGATGATGATGATGACGATGATGATTTTGGTGATGTTGATGATGATGATGATGATGATGACGATGATGGTGATGATGGTGATGATGATGATGGTGATGATGATGATGATGATGATGATTGATGTAATGATTGTTGTATCAGACCATACCTTACAGCCCAGACAAGAACAACACATATAGCAGTGTGTAGATGAGCAGGTGTATACCAACATAAGTTGACCCATCCTACAGTAATTAAAAGGAGATTAAGACCTGACCCAACAGAGGTCACGGTCACAAAGGGAAAAAGAGTTCTCGCCACCAGCCGGCGTCATGACCGCGTTTATTCAAGAAACTACCCTCTAGCCAGCACCACGCACCTAATCAAAAACAGCTGTTTCGACACACCCAGATTAGTGTTAATTAAGAGAGGACATCTGTTGGTCTGACTCCTCTAATATAAGGCACCTGTAGCTCCTTCCGTGAGGCAGACAGGGAGAGACAGAACTCAGAGGCAGACGGAGCCACAATCACCATAAGTCGACGTCGGGATGGGATTTCCCTTCCCAGCACCGAGTCTCCAGCGAGCAGAGTCTACCACAGGAGACAGTCCAGCACTCCCTTCAACAGCACCTGCTGGGCCTCCCTCAGGTCACACGTGAGTCATTGTCAGAGCGATCCATAGGGATAGTTACTTACGGTGGGAAGTGTATCCATTTCATGTTTGTGTCCGGGAGTCATTGTCTAATAGCGTCGTTATAATGATCTATCAATCTGTCCATACCATTCAGTTAACTAATGAATAACTGTACTAAGAAGTGTTGTTTAGAAGCTTTTCCCTAAGAACATATTAACGGTTAAATAACTAATCGGCCACGCTACCAACTTCCTTCACTTTACAATCCTCCTTCTGTACTGTAAAATCTCTACCTATATCTCTACCTGAGTTATCTCTCATTATAAAGATGATGATGATGATGATGATGATTAAAGCTGGAGATGATGGAAAATACTCCAGATGTTTAACCGACAAAAGGTTTTGAGTAATGCTAATATCTCTCAGCTAATAGGCGAAATTATTGGTCAGTTTTGAGAGTTTATCAGCTGTTGTACTGTTCACAAACGGAGGCTTAATAAACGGTACATTAATAGCTTGCCATTGAGAACAGCTAAACACAAAACAGCAACAATGTCCAAAAGCTGTTAACAATCACAGCACGTTAGTTTTTGGACAAGTGCTTCAAGCTGGATTAGTTAAAACGAATTCATAAGCAAAACTAAATTATTGATTAAACTTTCATAAAACGATCACCGGATCATCTCTTCCGTGGTGTGTCGCACTCGGTAAAAACTCCTAAAGTGAGTCTAGGTTTGTTTTCCCTTCACCGTGTTTCTAACGATCTGCCTGGTACATTTCGACTAATCCCAGTGTTGATATTCCATGATTCCATCAATTCAACAAAATATTATAGTTATTTTTGTGTTATCTTTATTATTCCTTTATTGTATTTATAGGTATTAATACCGACTTCATTTTCACCGTTATACTCCTGTATTTGTAGTAGTGTGTATTGCATATCAAGCACAACAAGCCACACAACAGAAGGCATAATATTTCCTACAGAGCAATGTACAGTTTATGCCCTAGCCTGGAGCCAACTTACTGTACCATGGGTCACTACTCTCGGTCACCTCTGGCATTCATTTACATATTTGAGCCTCAGTCCCGGGTTGAAAGGTTAAACGTGCAGTAATTTTTCACGATATATTTGATATTGAAACGCGGGTGTATATAACCGTAGACTTTTGTACCATTCTAGCATAGTGGTTGTTCGTGTGTGTAATAATGGTCTGAGCAGAATGTGGAGGAGTGTCTGATATAGTAGCGCGCATGAAGGTTTGGGAGGTTGTAGCTCCTGTCTCTCCTACTCCCTCCTCCCCTCCCTCCTATCCCCTAATTCCCTCCCTCCTATCCTCTAATCCCCTCCCTGCTACCCCTTCCTTCCCTCCCCCTACCTCCTCCTTCCCGCCCTCCTACCTCCTCCTACCCTCACCTATCCTACCCTCTCCTCCCTTCACCCCTTCCCTCCCTCCTGTCTCTTCCTCCCCTCACCTACTAATACACACATCATCCTGTGACTGCGGAATGACAAGAGATTACAAGAGATAGAGGAGGTGAGTTTGGAGGGATATTGGTTGTGAAGAGGCTCACGTCATGCCTCCCAATTTGCAGATTGGGATGGGGAAATAGGGTGGTAGCAAGTACATGGGGGTCGGAGTTCGAATGGCCTCCACCGCCAATTACTATGGGTGGACGGAAGGAGGGAAGTCTTAAGGGGTTGCTTATATTTTCCCAAGTGTATAAAAGGTTGTGAACGGGTTGGGGGTTGGGGGGGGGCATACCTGCCTGTTATGTGGATGCATGGTATGAGGATGGGAATATTTGTAAGGAAGAGAGAATGGGATTCTAAGAAAGTTACCACAATGCCTTTCTTATCCTGCTGAAGAACTATGTGGATTCCAAGAACGATTTAGATGACCAAACTTCTCTTGCCCGCACCCCACTCCACCCGGCCTAAGGTTGAGGCGAAGGTGATGGAGGGAGATAAGAGGTCAAGCTATGCCCACCCTCAGTTATTGATTGCCAGACAAGAGGGATGCAAAGATAAAACGAAGGTGTATCGCACAGCAGATGATAATACAAAAGGCCACAAGGGGTATGAGAGTGAAGGTTCCCCCCCTTATGCAGCCACTGTTAGATGGGATGGCGTCGGTTGTTAGATGGGATGATGTAAGGGTTGTTACTGTCTTCCCCTTCCTCCCCGTTCGTCGATGTTAGATGGGATGATGTAAAGGTTAAGTAATGGGTTCCTCCTTCCTCCCCGTTCGTCTGATGTTAGATGGGATGATGGAACGGTTGCTAATGGGTTCCTCCTTCCTCCCCGTTCGTCTGATGTTAGATGGGATGATGTAAAGGTTGCTAATGGGTTCCTCCTTCCTCCCCGTTCGTCTGATGTTAGATGGGATGAGGTAACGGTTGCTAATGGGTTCCTCCTTCCCCCCCGTTCGTCTGATGTTAGATGGGTTGATGTAAGGGTTGCTAATGGGTTCCTCCTTCCTCCCCGTTCGTCTGATGTTAGATGGGATGATGTAACGGTTGCTAATGGGTTCCTCCTTCCTCCCCGTTCGTCTGATGTTAGATGGGTTGATGTAAGGGTTGCTAATGGGTTCCTCCTTCCTCCCCTTTATTGTATTTATAGGTATTAATACCGACTTCATTTTCACCGTTATACTCCTGTATTTGTAGTAGTGTGTATTGCATATCAAGCACAACAAGCCACACAACAGAAGGCATAATATTTCCTACAGAGCAATGTACAGTTTATGCCCTAGCCTGGAGCCAACTTACTGTACCATGGGTCACTACTCTCGGTCACCTCTGGCATTCATTTACATATTTGAGCCTCAGTCCCGGGTTGAAAGGTTAAAGGTGCAGTAATTTTTCACGATATATTTGATATTGAAACGCGGGTGTATATAACCGTAGACTTTTGTACCATTCTAGCATAGTGGTTGTTCGTGTGTGTAATAATGGTCTGAGCAGAATGTGGAGGAGTGTCT